TAGGGTCATTTGACCAATTTACCCTTTTTAGGGTCATCCGGTCGATTTTGAATAAATCGTCGATTCATTTGACCAATTTACCCTTTTAGGGCGATCTGGTCAATTTTGAATAAATTCTCAATTTCATTCAATTCATTTGACCAAGTTCCTTTTTTAGGATGATTCGGTCAATTTTGAGTAAGTTTTAAATTTCACTCAATTCATTTGACCCGTTTCCTTTTTTAGGGTAATCCGGTCGATTTTTAATTTGTCAATTTCATTTGACCAATTAGGGTTTTAATGTCGGATTTCAAAACTTAGTCGATTTTTGAGAAAATCATCCATTGCATCCAGCCATTTGATCAGTTGGGGTTTTGACCCGTAATTCACTGAGAAAATTTGTCAACAAATTCCAATCTCTTCGTTAGGAAGTTCGACAAGGTCGAACCTGTGCGTTTTTGCCAATTCTTGTATCGATCAAAAGTGATCAATCCCTTCGGACGAGGTCCTCATTTTGACCAACGTCTCTTCTCATTCCAATGGGCCAAATTTTTCAAATTATTTTTCACTCCATAAGCTGATCGGACCCATCAGGTATTGTATAGTGCCTGCTCTGGAGGATTGCATTTTCATGCTAGGCCTACCCTTGGCACAAAAAGGGTCCCCCCATAGGACATGCATACCGATTTTATATTCTTTCTTACTAACTCTGGGTATTTTTCTTTTGTTTTCCCCCTTCCCCCCTGCATTCATAAGAATATTTCAATAAGGCAAAAATATTTTTCTATATCTGATGATAATTTTAATCCAATAAAGTTTGAAAATCACAAGTATTATTTGATTCTTGGGCAGATCCAACAATGGAAACCTGAAAGACCCATCTGAAAGCTCTAGGCTAAGAGCTTCTAAGAGATTTCAAAAATTGTTTTCAAAGAAAATTCTATATATTTGACTTGTTAGTATATTTTTGTGTCAAGAGAAAGGGAGATAAAAAGTGTATATGTGGAGCTCTTTACAAGTTTCTCTCTTCTCATTTGTATCATAATTGAATGAGAATTTTTGTTTCAAACTTTTTCAGCAATAAAATTTTTGGGACAATCATTGTCTTGTGTATATTTATATACATTTCATTCTTTATTCTTACTCATTGGAGATTTCACGATGAATTTTGAGAAATAAAATCAAATTGAGATTTTTTTAACCTCCAGCCTGGAAATTCACAAGTGAATGCTTCCTAAGATCCTTACACTCGATTGGTGATCCGAGTTATACAATAAGAGTGCTCAGAAAGAAAGAGAGTGAACGGTCACTCAAAAGGCCCTATGAGATACCTTTCTCCTTCACTTAATTCCAAAATAAAATCAGTCACATTGATTGATAAATTGTAAATTGGGGCAACTTTTGCTTGAAAATGTTCAAGGTGTCCAATCTGGTTCAATCACATCTAAGTGAAAGCAAAAATGTGCATTGTTCTTATTTGTTTGGGAAATTTGGAATGATACTTCAAGCATTTGTTTCATTACCTATACAGATTTTTATCATTTGCTCTCCCATTTGAGCTTCTAAAAGAATAATTTCGTTTCAAATAAGGGTCTTAATGATCACTACCCTTCATTGAAAAATTTTCAAATATCAAAAGAAGAATGGATTTTCAATGACCATTTCGCTACTTCGGTTGTCATGAGGTATAAGAGTGATACTTTGGCCGTCATTTCTACAATCTAAACACTGATCATCCCTTGCATCCTCATTTGAGCTAAAAAATTGGTGGTTCTTTTCGAGTGCACATATGATCGCACCCCACATTGGGGAAGGAGATTGGGGAATTTTGAAAAAAAGAGAGAAGTAAAAATGCTAGAGTAAGGCGGGAACCGCAAATTGGGGAAATTTGATTCCACTTGGGGTCCAGTTTTGAAAAAAAGAAGAAGAAAGAAAAGGAAGAGTTTTGTCCGCGCGGACCGCCTATGTTTCGCAAATATGGATGAACAAGGGTCTTCCTCAATCAGTTAATTCAGATACATGCTAAAAATTTTCCCATTAATGAATGTTTCCTTTCAGAGTCAATGTAAGGAACGGAATACAAGTCAGGCCATTTTCTTTTCCAATCGAACATTCTATCCCTAGTTATCCCTTTTGAGCCTTCAGAATAAATTATTTCGTTTGGCAACCCCTGAGAATCGCAAACCCCACACTGGGGCAAGTTGGTTTGAAAAAGGAAAATTTCAAGAAGCGGAAAAGTGAAAAGCAACAAAATCAAAAACAAAAGAAGAAAAGAGAACCTCAGTTCAAAATAAACTGGGGCAAATTTTGTGAAAGTTCAAAAGAATGGCCAAAAGCCGAAAAATCAAAAAAAAGAAAGAAAATGAAAGAGAAAAAGCCTCAATTGAGCAAAAATTGGGGCAAATTCTGATTTAACCCTAAAGTAGGGTTGGCACAACGATGCGATCTCAGATCCTTCAAACCTGTTTCGAAATCCGTTTTCAAGCCTTAACTTTTCTAAGCACCCCACCTGACCCCGTTACAAAAGCCGAAAGTCCTGACTTCTGTTCTTTGCAATGGCCCTGTCAAGAAAATTTCTGATGCCGGAAAATTTTAGCTGTATTTCTGAATTGCTTGAGTATGAGTTTGACGCTACTCACCATGTGAAAACCCATCAGCTCGAGGGAAAGGGAAAAGAGGCAAAAAGCGAAGAAAGAAAAGTAAATGCAAGAAAATGCAGAAAAATCGACGCTGAAGTCTCTGGTGAGTGATGAGAAAAATGCAAACAAAGGCTGAAGTCTTTTGATTTCAAAATAGGGGCAATTTTGGAAAAATGCGATCTATGGTGCAATATCCTTGAAAGTCTTAAACTATCGTTTTCAAGCCAAATTACAAGCTAACAAAGTCCATCGTTGACTTATTCTTTCATGACAATCCAAAATGAGGATCATGCTCACAAGAAATTCATCAAATCATTTGTGATCATAGGGGCATAACCCGTTTCCACATGTTTAGCTATCACTTCTGTCCATACGTTACAAGCCTAGAAAGCTTGTATGTTGACTAAGTTTTCTTGAAAATAAGGGTAACAAACTCTTTGCTTTCACTAAGATGTGACATTGAATGGATTACATACAACTGGGGCACAAAAATGAGACAAATTCTTATCTCCCATTTCCTTAGCCATTTAAAAAATAAAGTCACTTGATTGATTCTGAAAAGATGAGCCAACCAAAAGTGGTGACCCGTTACCCTAACACCAATGCTAAAAAGTGAGGAAGAAATCTTCTTGAATTTGGTGTTACTTCGAGGAATTCATCATGAAATTTCTGCATGAGTTCAAACTTGACGCTTAAAGTTTCTTCACATTGTTGTATATGTGCATTCTTTTCTAAATGGGCAAAAGTGCGGTTTTTCTTTGTTCAAGTAAATGGGAAATCATCTAAACCAATTTTTGCAATCAAATGGGCCCAAACTGGGGCAAAATTTTTATTTGCAAAATTTCGCAAAATAAGCCCACACAGGGGCAAATATTTTTGAAGTCCAAGTGAGGATTTCGTCCAAGAATCAAAATAATGCATTTTTTCAAATCAGTCACGCTCATTTGAGTGCACGTAAGCCCTGTGCAGGTATTTACAGTTGAAGTCGACGAAAAGCATCTGGCGATGTGGAAGGCCGATGCCGAAGAAAGAGGAGAAAGAAGGGAGAAGGGCCCTACACTGGGGCAAATTATTTGTGAAAAAGATTCTCTCGAAAAATCAGAAAAAGTCAAAAATCAAAAATCAAAATTCAAGTTTTTGTTACTTGGAAAATCAAATTTCTTGATTCCTGACAAATCAAGTTCAAGTTCTTGACCAATTGGATGGTAGGACTGGGTCTTATCCCGCTGACCATTCACTTTATTACGTTGGGCCTGAGTTTCGTGCCGCCAACATCACTTTATCACGTTGGGCTTGGTTTTCGTGCCACCAACTTTACTTTATCACGTTGGGCCTGGACTTGGTGCCGCCAACATCACTTTATCACGTTGGGCCTGGATTTAATGCCGCCAACATCTCAAACATCCCGTTGGGCCTGGATTTTGTGCCGCCAACTTCCCAAACATCCCGTTGGGCCTGGATTTTGTGCCGCCAACTTCCCAAACATCCCGTTGGGCCTGGATTTTGTGCCGCCAACTTCCCAAACATCACGTTGGGCCTGGACTTGGTGCCGCCAACATCACTTTATCACGTTGGGCTTGGTGTTCGTGCCACCAACTTCACTTTATCACGTTGGGCCTGGACTTGGTGCCGCCAACATCACTTTATCACGTTGGGCTTGGTGTTCGTGCCACCAACTTCACGTTGGGCCTGGACTTGGTGCCGCCAACATCACTTTATCACGTTGGGCCTGGACTAGGTGCCGCCAACATCACAAATGTCACGTTGGGCTTGGTTTTCGTGCCACCAACTTCACGTCACCAAGTTGGGCCTGGATTTCGTGCCGCCAACCTCACAAACATCAAGTTGGGCCTGGATTTCGTGCCGCCAACATTCCAAAAATCAAGTTGGGCCTGGATTTTGTGCCGCCAACGTTCCAAACATCAAGTTGGGCCTGGATTTCGTGCCGCCAACATTCCAAAAATCACGTTGGGCCTGGATTTCGTGCCGCCAACTTCACAATATCCCGTGGGTCTATCCCAATTTTAAATTTCTGTTCGGGTCTATCCCGTGGGTCTATCCCAATTTTAAATTTCTGTCCGAGTCTATCCCGTGGGTCTATCCCAATTTTAAATTTCTGTTCGGGTCTATCCCATGGGTCTATCCCATTTACTTTTCTGTCTGGGTCTATCCCATTTAAATTTCTGTCCGGGTCTATCCCGTGGGTCTATCCCAATTTTAAATTTCTGTTCAGGTCTATCCCGTGGGTCTATCCCAATTTTACATTTCTGTCCGGGTCTATCCCGTGGGTCTAACCCCGTTTTAACTTTCTGTTCGGGTCAATCCATATTTTAAATTTTCTGTTTGGATCAATCCCATTTTAAATTTTTGTCAAAGGGGTCAGTCCCCATTTCTAAAGCATCCATCGTTCGAGACGCTCATAGCCGAATAACACCGGTAAGTATTTGGTGTCTACTTCTTTGCCTCAAGTTTTTTCAAAACTCAGACAAAGAGGGGCAAACTGTAGACACCAAAAATTTCATCAATTCAATCTTAACTGTATTTAGCTTTATTCAATTTCTGACTCTCTTTGATTCAATTTTAGTTTTTATCATTATTTATTTATTCTTGTTTCATATTTATTATTTTTAATTGATTTGAGGTTGCAAATAGTAATTGATGTTTATTCTTATTTTAATACATTAAAATTCATCATTTTCTTTTTAAAAGCAATTTTACGCTAAATTTTAGGAAAAATCCTGAATAAAGATCCATTTTATTTTTTTAAATTTGATTTTTTCTTGCTAAGGCATTTTGCAAGGTAATTTTAGAAAATTAGCATATTAAACAAGTGTGTCAATTGCATGTTGAACAAGTGTGCAAATAAGCATTAGACAAGTGGTTAAGGAATGGTAGGACAAGTGTTTAGGGAGGGGTAGGTGTTTGAGACACCTGGAGGTCTAAGAGAGGAGAAAAGGTACGAAAGGCTAAAAAAAATCGAAGGAAGCTCTCGGCTGGGGGGCAAGCGAGGGAATGAAAAGGAAAAACAGGGGAAGGTTTTGGGCGGAGCTAAGGGAAGAAAAAACCAGAAAAACAGAGAAGGGGCTGCTAGCAAAAGGAAAAAGGCTGAAAGAAAAACAAAGCAAAAGAAAGAAAACAGGGGAGGATTCGGCTAAGGAAAGGCTAAAGAACAGAGAAGGGGGCTGCGGAGAGTAAAGGGAACAGAAAACGGAGAAGATAGCTGAGAGGAATTTAGGAAGAGCAAGAAACGGAACTAAAAAAAAAAGAAACTGGCAGCCGAAATCTGGAATTTGGAGGAGGAATTTCGGGCAGAGGCAAAGGAACTAAACGCAAAGTGAGGAAACAAAGACCAGGAGGTCCGCCGCAATCCGAGCTCCGCCACGGCACCTCCACCTCGTGCGCCACCTTTCTTCTCCAGCGCGACCAACAAGCAGCCAACCGCTTGCCCAAGCCACCTCCAGGCCGCACTCGTCGTTGTTGCTGTATGCTACTCTCCACCTCTGCTGCCGCCTTTCAACTCCCACTGCCGTTGCTGCCACCGTAGCCATCAAAGCAGCAGGGGCTTCTACTGCCATCTCCACAGAGCCGTCTACCGTCAGCGCCACCCCCCCAGATTCAATTCGACTTCAGAATTTATAGCCCTGTAAGTTATTTTCTTCAAATTTCAGTTTCTCTCAAACTTCTGAAATGAGTTTGCCATGGTATTATTTTGGTGCGAATCCCCTGTTAATTTGCCTAAACTTCTGAACACGTGAGCTTGTATACTGTCCGGACTAAATTTCCTTGGGTTGCTGACAATTTTGGGGTTGATTATCACCCCAATTGAGCTAAGAATCGATGATATGCTTAATGCCCATTAGATGTTTGATGAAATGCCCAGCTAAAATTCTGCTTGAGTGATGATTAACTTGCGTTTTTGCTTTGATGTTTTTATTCTGCGAAGGAAGGCTAAATGGCCACTGATATTCTTTTAATCTGCAACGGCTTAATATGAATGACTGGGTTGCATTGATCAAAGGGGGTTTGAGTTTGTTAAAAAGTTTTGTTTGCTCCGCATCTGTTTCGTGTGGTTCCTGGGGTGAGTTACCGAAGAAAGAAATGAAAAAATTGCAAGAGAACTTCGAGCAGGATGCATGATACTTTCTGAATTTTTTTATTTTAGCCCCAACTTTTGTCCAATTGCATTACGGCCCAGAAACATTTGTAATTGAACGATTCACATCCCTATTGGATGCTCATCTCCTCTTGATATTTTAGGTGCATTTCTAAACTTATTATTTCTGTGGTTGCGGGTATAATTAAACCTTAATTTGTTTTAGTGGATTTGTTATCCTATTGGGCTAAAGGTTTGCTTGGTGGGTTTTTGGCTGATGAGTTTTAGTTTGTTTATTTGAATTTTTTGGTTTGGGCCATAGGGTCATGACCCATCTGTGTGGTTGGCTAATTTTGGGCCAAAATAGTTAAGCTAGCCCATCTGTTTTTGCTTGGGTTTTTTGGTTGGGCTAGGAAGGGTTGGCCCAAACGAACAAATAAAATGGTCCATTCCCTTGTTGCTTTGAATTTCCATTGGGCTGGGAAACTTTGGCCCAAACAAATAAAGGCAATAGCCCAGTGGCTTGATCCACTAAGAAACCAGAAAGCAAATTTGCAAATCAGCCCCTGAATTTCTCCTTAGATGTATTGTGGCCCTGGACATTCTCAACTTCTTTCAATTCGGTCCTTAAATTAATTGTAATTAAGTCCCTGAACTTTATTTTTCTTTAATTTTGACCCCAAAACTTTGTTCGTTTTTGCAATTAAGTCCCTTCTTCTTTTGACTTCTTAAATGTGGGTTTTGACATGATTCAATTGATTCAATTCATGCTTATTTTTATCCTTTGTGATTATTTGCCAAATAAATTGGTGCCTTGACCTTTTTATTATTTTGGAGGGTAAATTAGTAAGTTCACTTCATTGGGGCCCAATTTCAAGGAAGGTACACTCTACCCTTTTATTTGCACTTCATTTGATTCTACGTGCTCCTACGTGTTACGTGAATTGCATGTCTACTTTGCTTTCTTTACATTTCTTTAATTCCTTTCATTCCTTTCATTTACTTTTGCTTTATTAAGTTATTCTTTTAATGGGGTATGTGTACACCTCTTGGCTTGTAATAGATAGGGCGTAGCAAGTAATTTGGTCCATTTCCCCTTTCCCCTTTGTTTTAGTTAGCAAATGTAATGGTTGCATGCCTACGTGTTAAGTGTTTAATCGCTTTATTAGGCCCTTGCATCTAGTCAAGCATGCTAAGTGTTATGTGCTACGTGTTTATAAGTGATTCGCATGTCTACTCGCTTTTTATGGTGTGGATGAATGGAATGGATGAATGTACGTCACCACACTAGTCCAACGCTAGTTGTGGCTTCTTTTATCGTTTCCACTAGTCCAACGCTAGTCGGAATTCATAGAATGGGCTAGTCCAACGCTAGACCCTTAGGGATTTTCCCTCGATAGTACATCATTTGCTTGTTCACCACATATCACACATTTTCCTTAGTTTTATCATTTGGCATGATCCTCAAACCCCTTTTCCTCTCATTTTAGGTTTTGCATCCCATACTAGCTATAGGGTTCATTTTGCTTGAGTGTCCCCCTCCGATAAGGGAAACGAGCGAGTGTGGCTACTCGATAGCCTTAGCACGCTAGTTTCGCCTTCTAATCCAAGGGAAAATCGAAGTCGAAAAGTTAGAAGTCAACCCCCGTACCCGACTTGTTGCATTCCCCTAGGGTCATACTTTCATCACTTCCATACTCTTTTAATCACATTTTTCTTATATTTCGCAATCCATATTTTTCACTACATCTTTATCATTTATTTATTTTACTTCACAAATGAAATTCAAGTTTCACTTATATATGTACTACTCTATCTTCATTCATTTGCACACACAAACACTTTGATTTTCATACAAATTCACACATGCACTTTCTTTACACATTCGCACACAAACACTTTGTTTTTTACACCATTTCATACATGAATCTTTTCATACACTTGCACACTTGCACTTGAGTCACCATTTGCATCAATCGACCTCTATGAGGTTTCCCTTTATTGGCCGCCACAATTCATGTGGTTTGGGACCAAAAACCTCACGAGAGACATCGTAGAATTTAGGATTGCATTTCCCATTCATTAGTCTTTGTCCAAATTGCAAATACATACTTTGGGTAGAAAAAATTAGGAAAATAAGGGTTAAATCACGCAACTAGCCTTGGCTAGGTCGAAGGGGTGCCTTGGATTTTTATCCTTGCCTTCCCCTTCGTCAAATGTGACTCCCGAACCTTTTTCTTTGTTTGCGTGGACTAGGAGTCGTTCAAAAGGGTTTCTTACTTTTTTTCCTTAAAAAATTCACTTTTTGGGTGACTTGGTACACCCTAACTCTATACCAAGTGGCGACTCCATTTTTCATATAAAAAATCCTTTTTGAACTATTTTTCTTGGGTCAAATCGTCGCATTTTCAAAAGTCCCATTTAGACCCATTTTTATTTTTATCAAAAAAATTCACTTTTTCCAAACCAATAAAATCACAAAAACAATCATTTTATTTTTCCAAAAAATGGGACGCGACAAGTAGATGTATAGCCAAATATAGGTATGAGAGTAGGTATCTCACTGAAATGACCTCCGAAAGTTGGTACAGTGAGAGGTGTAAAGAAAGTTTTAGTGTGAGAAAAGTATGTGTCAATAGGTGGATCATATCCAGACAGGGTTGAAGTGTGATACCCCAACTTTTAGGATACTATTGTTGTTTAGTCTCAAAGAGAATATTGTGATTGCTTTTGTTTATTTTTATATTAAGACATTGTTTTGTTTTAAATTCTAGAAACCCTAAATTCTAATAAAAAACCCTAGTTTACTTGTGATTAACCAGTTTTCTTAAATCTCTCATTTTTAATCGAAACCCTAATTGTAATCAATGGAATTGTAAACTCCCGCACATTTTTCTTAAAATTACTTTTATTTGGAAATTATTACTTTATAATGGCCCTACTACCCAATCACCCCACAATAAGTGCAAATGAATATAGAATTAAGAGTTTTCCTTTTCGTTTTCAAGTTAGTGCGAATTAGGGTTTTTACGCCTATCCGTGGTGTGACTATCCAGTACGAAGTGTGGATCAAATTTGGTGATTAAGAGTGAGTTGTAGATGATATTAAGTGTGTGATTAGAAGTGGTAATAATAAGTTAGTGAATTATAAGTTAAAATCCTAGTCTACGCGATTTAAGGAAAATCGGCTCGAACCGACGAGTACCGTTTGTTACCGAGTGAGTGCACCACTTGAACACCACTTTATTACCTTAATAACCTTGCTATTAATTGAGCAAAATCAGCCTTAAAATATCTTCTAAAGCAGCTGAAAATTTGGACAAAAAACAAGAGAGAGAAAAGAAAATTTTGACCACCAATCAAAGTGTGACATGTGTTAAACTTTGACCAAGCATTTTTCTTTCTTTCTTATCTTCTTCTTGGTTCCATTTTCCTCCATTTTCTTCCCTTGTTGGCCGAACCTAGTGAGGAGAAAAAGAGTGTGAGAGCTTCAATTTCCATCTTCTATTTTACCTTGTTTGATTTGGAATCACAAAAACTAAACCGATTAAACTTGTAATAAGGTGACAAGGAAGCTTTGGGTGGAGTGATTTTTGTATGGGCAGCCTTGATTTTGTGTATTTCCTTGAGGTTTGAAGGTAATAAGCTAAGAAACTCTTCTTCCCTTTCTTATGTTGCATTTGATTGGATATATGACTTGAAACTTAGAAGGATGATGGATGATAACCTAGATTGGTGAAGATTGATGGAATTTCAGCCTAGGGTTACATTTTCCAGCTTTAATGTTCAATTTCAAGTCATGATATGCATTTTCCAACCATGAGATGAACCTGATAGTTGTGATATGAGATGGTCTAACTTTGATGTGAAATTTTAAGTTTTGGTATATGGTTTTCTAGCTTTGGTTGCAATTTCCAGCGTTAGTTCTAGAATTCCAGCATTGATAGTGACAAAGCTTCCCTGCTTCTGACCAGTGCAATTCGTCCATGTTAAAAGCTGATTTAGCCTTTGTATAAAACATGAAAGTTGTAGGGAATAATGTTTTATAGTTGTTTGCAAAATTTCAGCCCAATCCGAGTACTGTAGCTCATGAAAAGATAAAAATACCCCTAAGACTGCTTAGGTAGAGTCCAGCAGACAGTTTTGATATTCCTTCATGTTGGCTGCATTTTTCACCTTGATCCGTACCAAACCAATCTTTGGCCAAAACATGAAACTTTTAGTCCTATGTTTCAGCTTTCCAACTCAATCAAAAACACCTTAATCGGATTTCGGTAGCCTGAGTTATTGTCATTTACGTATAGTACGGTTAACTAGCCCGAACGTACGATTTTGGTTCTGTAATCCGGACTTTTGACCTAGATACACTATGCACTGGACTGAGTAGTTTTCATCAAAGTTTTAGCACTCTATTTTAGCTTCGAAACGGTATAAATTTACCTCAATCCGATAAGCGTAGTCTCGGTTGTGTCCGTTACGCAAAACAACATCAAATCTGTCTTTCGTTTCTTGACTCAAACTTTATTTCCACACATGTCTCTAGCTTGATTTTGTACTTGTATGATTTTGAGCCTATGGAACGGCTATTGAAATGAAATTATTTTGTGTGTGACTTTGGGACTATTTGAGGAAAATATTGAAGCTATAAATGGCTGGAAAATAGGTAAACACAAGAGGCATGCCGCCAAATTTTCACTAGAAGACTATTTTTGTTACCATTCCGGCCGTTTCGGCCGATTTTGGCATTCTTTTGGCCTTAATGTCGTTTTTGACCGTTTTCGATCGTTTAAGTTATAAACTGCTATGGTATGGCCATTTCACTTATGTGTGTATATAATCTATCAATACAGACTGTGAGGCTTTTGACGGGTGACGATCAGGCTCAGTGAATTGTATCATTTTTCGTGTCAAGCTTTATCAAGTGAGTAATTGAGTTGTTTATCGATGTGAAATTGTTAAAGTGCTTTGTATATGTTAAATGAGTACTTAGACGAGGGTGTACTTTATCTCACTCGACCTAAGCCCATCCTTTGTTTTGATTTCATATGTGAGAATAAATGTCTTATATTGTGTATCACCCTTTTGCTGTGTGTTGATGGGGGTGATTACATGACTTGAGTATCACCCTTTTGCTGTGTGCTGATGGGGGTGTTTACATGACTTGAATTAAATCCCTT